TGTGTGTCACATATTATATTACTCCTATTTTGTCCCATAGCAACCCTGTAATGTAGAGATCATTATTCTCACTTCACATTTTGAACAAAAAGTTTCAGAGAGAAGGGACTTGCCCAAGATTATGCAGCTGATAAGGGGTGAAGCCAGGCTTTGAACCTTTCTCCAGAGCTAGTGAATGGGCACCTTGAAAATTGGCGCAGAGCTAGAGTGGCCATTCTGGTTGCCCACCATTATTTCCCTTGACCAGTGGTGCTCAGATTTCACGAGTTCTGCATCCGTGGCTGGTGCATTGTGGGAAAGAAGCAGACGTGTCCCTACTGCAAAGAGAAAGTAGATCTCAAGAGGATGTTCAGCAACCCGTATCCTTTGCTTGGATTTTTTAGGGGAGTGGGCAGTGGGAAGAAAGCACTAGTCATGGTGACCCTGCATTTCGAGTCTTCCTGGGGCTCTCCCTCGTCTCGAACCTGGTACATGTCCAACATTGTATTCGGCCTCAGGTCTAAGGAAGTTGAGGGTGGAACATGGGGCAGGACTAACACCTCAGCTTATCATCATTCTACAATCCTCAAGGGTAAATGGGTAGTTATGGCAGCTACCATATATTGCTTGCTTACTGTGTTTCTGGTACTGTGTTAAGTAATCTACTCATATTAATCTCATTTGATTCTCAAGAACTTTATGACTTGGGTAATATTCTCATTTTATAGATGAAACAGTTGGAAGTTGAATAACTTGCTCAAGATTACATAACTATGGGTGATGATGCCTTATCTATGACATGACGAGTTGAAGACCATGGTAGTCTGTGCCTACGCAGGGCCTGTAAGGTACAGGGAAGGCTGGGGGACTCTCTGTCCCCATCCACTATCAACACATGACCTCTGCTCCTCTGAACTACCACTTCCTACCCTGCCAGCCTTCCTCGCTGTACCCTCACCCTCTTTATTCCCCTCACAGCCTGTCTGTTGGAAAGTGCCCAGCCACTCTTCTGCCCGTCCCGTTCATTTCCCCTGGGATCCAGAGACCCAGTTTTCACCCCTCCTCTCAGCTGCTCTTTTTCTCTGTGCTATGGTTCCCTCTTCCCTGGACACTACCTGGGCTGTGTGGGAGCCACTGGATTCCCAGGGCATTTGTACAGTCTCTGACCAGGAGACAGGCCCTTTTAGATTCCTTGCCTGGTTCTTTCAGGGACTAGTTTAGGAACAGCTAAGTAACTCCATGGTCATACTGATGGTTGGGGCTTCCCTTAGTTCCCGGAGACTAGGCCAGGCTTCTCTTTCTGATACCTTTGGAGAGGTTCCCTCCTTCCCCCAAGTCTCAGGAGGTCAAACTATTCTTTGCCCAGAGCTGGAATCCCAGGCCCCCTTCCCCAGTATCTTGCCCTGTGGTTAGCTATAAAGCAAAATGAAGGGCACTCATCTCCAGAGCCGCTAGGCCACTGTAGGACCTGGTGCTAAGTGCCCCTGGGTGGGGATTTCCTGGGGTCTCTGCCAGGTGTTATCCCCTGTGACTAGCCTCTTGTTCCCTTCTCTGTCCTTAGACTCAATCTCTTCCTTGACCTAGAAAACGTTCCATATTGGGCCTTACAAGAACCTTTGGGGTTACATTATTTAACTCACAGCTTCCCTGTAGCCATTGGCACAGGCACATTTACAGCAGTCTCAGGCTGTGTTCTCTCACGCTGCCAGTCCCATCTCAGAGGAGCTGTTACATGGGCGACCCTCTTTGCATGTCGGTCGTGGAGAACTTAATTTCACCTCTTCACCCTCATCTTCTGCACTGCTCCCCTCTGCCTTCCTTCCACTTTTCTCTGGGTTTAGCCCTTTATTCCAACATGGAAAGGCTGGCGAGGCTTTCTAGAAAGCAGCTGCCTTTTCTTGCAAGCTGATTCTCTGGAGCAACTGGAAAGTGTGGGCAGTCCCAGGGAGGATGTGGGTGAACCCATTCCTTAGACCAGCCTTAGTAGCTCTATGCATAGCCTCTTTCCTTTAACACACTGGCAGCTGGGAAAGGCCTCACGTCATGTACGGGCAACTGCTGGATTGGCTTCGATACTTGGTAGCCTGGCAGCCTGTCATCATTGGCCTGGTACAAGGCATCAACTACATCCTGGGCCTGGAATAGTCAGGCAGAAGAGCATCCACCCACCATGGACCTCAGGGCACACTCCTTTCTGCCCTTCAAGACCTCCTGGGTGGGAAATACTCAAAGGGGCACTTGGGCCACTCAGGACCCTTCCGGCTGTGACCGGGCTGGGGAGGGATATGATGGCGAGCTAGCCAGTGTGGCTATCAGCAGTGGGGGCTTTTTAAAAGAAAACTATTTTGATGAATATATTTAAAAACCTTTTATATTGTGGAGCATAAGAATTGCCCCAACTCCTCCAGGCCTTATCCTTCCTGCTTGAGCAGGGCAGGAGCTGAGCCACAACCTTTTTGGTTAAGAGCCTTCTCGCCTCTGGTTGAGAACCTCAGCCCACCCCTTCCTTCTTTCCCTCTGTGGGGCCCAAGCCTGACACACACAGTGTGAAAGAGCTGAAGCCTCCGACTGGTGACACAGATGAGCACTGAGCGATGAGGTGTCTTCTGTCTTCCCCTGTCTGGGAGCCATAGGCTGGTTGAGGCAAGTGGAACCTTGTGACTTTTCCAGTGAGGGAAGCCTTGGGACTTCAGAATGCATCAAGGATTTGTTTGGGGGCAGCTGGAAGCAGTAGCAGCTTGGGTAACCTGCCCAGAGCAGGACTGTACTCAGCCAGGAATGGAGGCGATGGCAGCTGCTGTGCCTGGAAATGGTGACATGTGCCAAAGGCCATTTTGCCACATCACTTCCTTCCCTGAAATCCTGGGTGAAAGCATGTGTATGTGCATCTGAATGGGAGTGGCAGAGGGACTATGACAGACATGAGACTCTTCTCTGTCATCAGTGTTCCCTGGAAGCTGGCAGGGGATTCCCAGGCCAGGGAATATCCCTGTGTCAGCCTCGTCATTCACGGACCCTGCCTGGGCCTGCCAACAAGAGCTGGGGGTGGGTGGGAGGAGGGTAAGGCCCATGTGAGTATGGCTTCTGAAAAGGGGTTCCAGGGAGACCCCTGCTCTGATCCTAGGAGTTTTGAAGGAAGTAGGAGGGCAAACATGGCCCTTCCACGCTGGGCTCTTAGGGAATACGGCCCAGCTGGGCCTGCCCCTTCAAGGACAGCAAGAACCAAGAAGGATCTTGTCACTCCGTTCTTAATAAAGCTCCATGAGCTGGGTTGGAATGTTGAACATCATCTTGCTTTTTCTTCTTCCCACCACCTTCCCTGGGACCCCAGGGGCCCTGGGTGGTTGGTCCCACTCAGCATTCCTGGGAGTGGTAAAATTTCGGGCTCCTATCCTGTGGCAGAAGGGGCCCTGGGACATGGCTGGGTGGCTGTGTCCTCACCTGAGGTCAGTGCCCTGCCACCACCTCTTTTCATGGGCCATGCTCAACTTTGATTCCTGTACTCAGTGTGGCTTCCCGTGGTCCCTCACTGCTCGTGCCCATCTTCAGAGGGTGGAGAAGGGGCTGGTTGAAGGGTCCAGGGATCATCCTTTCATTTTTGTTCCCTCAGCCCCCACATCAGGCTCATGTGAGAAGCTGAAGCCAAACTGTTCAAGGCTTGCTCTTTGTATTTCACCAGTCCTGAGTCCCATGACCTCCCAATGGCCCAACTCTGGTCTTGGTGACACTCTGAAGCAGAAGCCTAGCTCCTCCGCGTTCATCCACCATCCTTTTACCCCAAAGGACTGTGTCTCAGAGCCCGAGGCATCCTGGCCTGCTGACTTAACTGCGGGGGTGCTGTGGTGCCTAGGGAAGCATTTTCCCTGTGCCCTGCAGCCTAGGAGCTCTTGGGGCAGGAGGCGGGGGAGGGACGGAGGGTTGGAAAATGTCAAGTAGAGCTGTGGAGAACAGGATGTGACTTGTCTCCTAAATTAGGAATGTGAGTCCGGTTTTTCCACACCAGCAAAACCCCCTTGGGATTGCAGCAGACAATGTTCCTGACACGTCCCCTAAACCCCCATTTTGTGCTCTGACTTCCCTGGCTCTATCCCCAGCTCTCCCATCCTCCTGACCACAGAAGTCCCTTAGTCACTCAGGTTTTGTCCTTCACACTTGATAATATGCATGCATGGGGTCACCGGTCTTGCTTTTTCTGTCTCTGTGACCCTGACAGTGCCTCACTCATCTAACCCTAGTCCTGGCCCTACCACAGCCCAAGCTCCATTTCCCATCAGCAACGAGGCTCATGCTGCTGGAGCCAGTGCTGGCTCCCTTGGAAGTGCCCTCCTTTTAGGATGAGGGTGCCAGCTCATGTTTCACGGCCTCCACTTGGCTCTGAGATGTCCTATGGACAAGTCTGGGAAGTGCCATCAGTGCAGTTGCTGTGGCGTGGCTCTCACTGGACCAGGCATAGCTGAACGGAGCTGTGGAGCCTCTGAGAAGGGCAATTCCGAAAAGCAGGGTCTTCAGGCTTCTTGGGAGCCAGGTAGGGGGGAATCGCGACTTTCTGGTGAACCTAGACCTGTAGCTCTGGCCAAGGGGGTAGGGGATGAGAAAAGTGAGGAGAGTTCAGGTGGTTCTGGGTGGATGTTGGCTTAGTGGTTGGGGGAGTGGGAGCCTGAGAAAGATCAGGATGTGGATCGGCTGGAGTGACATTGAACATGAAATGGTCAAACTGACCCAACACACTGGGGTCTCCAGTGCCTACGAGAGTTGTCCCCTTGGATATCAGTGTGATCTGTGAGAGACTCATTATTAGTTTACACCCTTTGTCACCATGGGAGGGTGAGGATAGGGGTAGATTAAAGACCCCACCCAGTCTGATAACCATCTGGAGAGTGGGGGGCGGGGGTGCTAGGAGAAGGGAAGGTTGCTGGTCCCTGTGAACTTTGTGTTAGGCCCAGGTGTGTGTCTGTGTGTGTGCTCTGTTCATTGTCCATATAGCCTGCTTTGAATCCCAGGGTAGAATAAAAGTGAAAGTGAAAGTGAAATAGGGTGTGGGGCCAGTGCTTTCCCAGAACAATTTCACTCTATCCTGCCTTTCCCAGAACCAGCTCTGGCAGTGAAGAGAGCTTTGTCTCCCTTCGTGGCTGGGAAAGTACCTAGCCCCTCTTTGGGCCTCAGTTTCTCTGTTCCTATACTGAAGGGGTTAGGATGGATTTAAAACTAGCATGTTAATGGTAATGAGAGCTTGGGTGAGAAAAGACGGTCCCTAGATGACACTTCAGCTTTGTTTCTAAGTGCTGAAGGGCTCTAGCCTCTGCTGGATGCCTGCCTTTCTGTTACCAGTTGGGTAGATGGACAGAGTAAATAGCAATGCCCAGCAGTCCACAGAAAGTCAGACCTAGGAGCAGCTATGGAATCTACAGGGAGGAGAGGGCTACACTTGAGATGATGTGAGAGAGTAGTTATTCACCGTTCTCCTCCCCCGCCTGGCCCCGAAGAGGAGGAAGTTCATCACATACATATATAGAGCCAGGCACGCCTGCTCCGGACACATACATCATGACCATGAGATGGAACTGGACACCAGGTGGGACCTGGGGCTGTGCTTGGAGCGGGTGGGGGCGTGGGGGAGGGTAAGGGTTCTGAGAACAGAATGGAGCAGTGTGGTTGCCTCAAACCTTAGCCCCCAGGTGACTCCGCTCCACTGTACTGTTGCTTTTTCAGCGTCTCTCCCAGCGCTCTGGCTATGGCTCCATTCCAAAAATCTCCCTGTGCTCCATTCAAAAAGGGACAGGAGGAAGGAGCTGGGGGTCTTTTGCCCCTCCAATTCCCTGGGCAGGGCCCAGGAATCTCTGGGTCAGAGCTGTATTCAGGGAGCAACTCCCTCTCCAATCAAGATGTGAGCCTGGGTGCTGAGCATCCCCAGGTGGTCCCGTCAGCTGCTGATCTCTGTGACTGTCCTTTCCTCAGACACCAGCCCTTTGTGGGTCCTGTTCCTGTGTTCCCACATCGTCTCCCATCTGGCCAGAGCCACACCCATACTTCAGGCCATCACAGCTGCCAGGACCTCAGCTGGGATCACAAAAGACCCTTCTTCCTCCCGACCCCCAATGCTCCCAGCAGCTGAGCGCTGCCCAGCATTGGAGGTGACCTGGCCAGAAGGGGAAGTCTCACTAAGTAAGGAGCAATTTTAAAGAGAGCCCAGGAGGGCACAACAGTTGGAGGGTGGGCTGTGGGCACAGAGGGCCCAAGGGGTTGACTCCTGAGTATCCCCCTGCTCTTCTGTGATACAGCCCACCACCAACCTGGCCAGCTGGGCTGAGCACTCAGCATTCTCCCTCTCCCACCCAGCATCATGACTGCAAGCACAGGGCCCAGCTCCCAAGGTGTTTCGTATCAAATGGGACAGAGAATTCAGTCATAAGGAAAGGTCAGAGGGTGCCTGGCATCTAGACTGCAGTGCGCTCTACGACCCAACCCTGCTTCTCAGGAGCCCACTTGCCTTTTGGCCACCTCAGAGGAGAAGTGTCCTAGTGGGGCTGCCTCCTAGGCTGGGGACCCTAGAGTCAGTGAAGCTGATCATTAGAAAAAGTCATCACCTGAACCAAGGACCTGTCCCCAAACTCCTCTTGCTCAGCCCTGGGTCTCTGTTGTAGACAACTGTCCTTGTCCTTTAGCCAACTTGCCTACCTGGGTAGTGTACAGACAGCACCTAGGTTTTTGGATCGTGGGGACTGCAGAGCTGGGCAGGGTGGGCAGGCCACAGAATGGCAGAAGGGAGGGTCTGCTCTATGGAAGGGCTGATGGACGCTTGTATCCCTAGATGGAACACTGACTTTGTCCTGTACCGCCTGCAGCTTCCACCACTTCAGCATCCTTTACTGGTTGGGCAATGGTTCCTTCATTCAGCATCTCCCAGGCCGGCTGCGGGAGGGCAGCACCAGGTGAGGGGTGTGGTGGCAAGGCCAGCAGGAGAGAGGCCTCCTCTTGCAGTCCTCTCATGGCCTTTCCTTCTCTGCTCCAGCTGCGAGCGCAGGGGCACAAGCACCCAGCTGTGGAATGCTTTGGTGCTGGAGGAGCTGAGCCCCGCCCTGCTCAGCACCAACTTCTCTTGCGTTTTCATGGATCCTGAGCACACTGTCCAGCGCCACATTGTCTTGGCCCATTTCTTGGTGAGGAACCTGAGGAAAGGTTTCCAGGAACAGGAGGAGCTCTGCTCTGCTGTGGGGAGGAAAGGGTGGGGGGGCTCCCCCAGAAGTCTCCAACTAATCACAACCAGTCCCCTGAGCCTGAGGTAGAAAATAAAGAACTTTGGATTCAGGCAGAGGTGGCATGGCCTAGAGGAAAGTGATGAGAGAGATCCCTCCCCTCCCGCCTTGACTCAGTCAATGTCTGCCTTCACTTCCCCCAGGCTGGGCTGAAGACCTTCGTGTCCCCTACTGAAGAAGTTCTCCAGAGGGTCTCATCTGCCTCACCATCCTGACAGATGAACTCTAAAGCCTGTTGCAACGCCACCTCATCATTTAGGTCTAGGCTGTCTCTCTCAGCTCAGGCCACATTCTGTAGCAACTTAATGCTGTTCTATGTTGTACTTACATAGGTGTACCTCGTTCTATTTTGCTTCCCAGGTACTGCAGTTCTTACAAATTGAAGATTTGGGGCAACGCTGTGTCAAGTAGGTCTATTAACACCATTTTCCCAACAGCATTTGCTCACTTCATGTCACATTTTGGTAATTCTTGCAAACATTATCTCAAACTTTTTCATCATTATACTTGTTACGATGATCTGTGATCAGTGATCTTTGATGTTGCTATTGCAATTGTTTTTAGGTGCCAGGAACCATGCCCATATAAGATGAATTTAATTGATAAATGTGTATGTTCTAACTATTCCCCATCTCCCCCCTCCCGTCCCCCACCTTGGGCCTTCCTATTCCCCCAGACAGAACAATGTTGAAATCGGGCCAATTAACCCTACAATGGCCTGTAAATGTTCTAGTGAAAGGAAGAGTTGCCTGTCACTTTAAATCAAAAGCTAGAAATGATTCAGGTTAGTGATGAAGGTGTGTCCAAAGCTGAGATAGGCTACAAGCAAGGCCTCTTGCACCAACAGCTAAGTTGTAAAGGCAAAGGAGAAGTTCTTGATGGAAATTAAAAGTGCTACTCCAGTGAACAAATAAGAAAGCGGAAGAGCCTTACTGCTGATATGGAAAGTTTTAATGATCTAGATAGGTGAAACCAGCCACAACATTCCTTTAAGCCAAAGCCTAATCCAGAGCAAGGCCATAATGCTCTTTATTTCTATGAGGTCTGAATGAGGTGAAGAGGCTGCAGAAGAAAATTTGGAAGCTAGCAGAGGTTGGTTCATGAGGTTTAAGGAAAGCCAAGTCTATAACATAAAAGCACAAGGTGAAGCAGCAAGTGCTTATGTAGAAGCTGCAGCAAATTATCCAAAAGATCTAACATAAGTAATGAAGGTGGCTATGCTTAACAGATGTTCAATGTAGAGTAAAATAGCCTTCTTTTGAAAGAATATTCCATCTAGGACTTTCATAGCTGGAGATGAGAAGTCAGTGCCTGCCTTCAAAGGGTCTAATGCAGCTGTTGACTTTTAAGTTGAAGCCAGTGTTCATTTTCTGTTCTGAAAATCCTAAGTACATTGAGAATTATGCTACATCTCTTCAGCCTGTGCTCTGTCCCTGCAAATGAAACACCAAAACCTGTACAATATGGTTTACTGAATATTTTTAGCCCATTGTTGGGACCTGCTGTTCAGAAAAAAAGATTATTTTCAAACTATTACTGCTTATCGACAAGCACCTGGTCACCCAAGAGCTCCGTTGGAGATGTACAACCAGATTAATGTTTTCATGACTGCTAACAAATCTATTTTGCAAACCATGGACCAAGGGATAATTTCAACGTTCAAGTCTTTGCCATACCAATTCTTCAGATGGGTCTGGGCAAAGTAAATGAAAAACCTTCTGGAAAGGATTCACCATTTTAGATGTTATTAAGAACATTTGTGATATTTATGGGAAGAGGTCAAAATATCACCATTAACAGGAGATTGGAAGCTGATTCCAACCTTCGTAGTTCGACTTTGGTGGAGAAAGTAACGGCAGATATGGTGGAAAGAGCAAGAGAATCGGAAGTGGAGCCTGAAGATAGAACTAAATTGCTACAGTCTCATGCTAGAACTTTAATGAGGCGTTGCTTCTTATGGGTGACCAGAGTAGTTTCTTGAAAACTACTCCAGGTGAAGATTCTGTGAAGGTTGTTGAAATGACAACAAAGGATTCCAGGGGTGTCCAACTTTTGGAATATCTGCGCCACACTGGAAGAAGGGTTGTCTTGGACCACGTATTAAATACATGGCAACACATAATCCAAAAAAAACCCCAAAACCCTCAAATGTTAAGTGAATTTACGAATTTGTGTTGGACTGCCTTCACAGCCATCCTGGGCTGCGTGTGGCCTGTGGGCTGTATATTGGACACCCCTGTTAAATTACATAAACTTAGATGATAAAGTATAGCACAAGTTTTGAGAGGATTGACTCCAATTTTGAAATAAGCTCTACTGTGGGTAGCATGCTGTCAAACAGCATTGCATACTAGAGAAATCATTTGTGGAAGAGGCAATCAGTGCAACAAACTTCATTTTCTTATTTTAAGAAATTGCTGCAGCCACCCCAACCTTCGGCAACCACCACCTTTATCAGTCAGCAGCCAACATCGAGGCAAGACCCTCCACCAGCAAGAAGATTTCAAGTCACTGAAAGCTGATGGTGGATAGCACTTTTTAGTTAATGTACATGGTTTCTTAGAAATGTTATTGCACACTTAATAGACTACAGTATGTTGTAAGCAATTTTTATACACACTGGGAAACTAAAAAAAACTGTAACTTGCTTTATTGCAGTGGTCTGGAACCGAACCTGCAATCTTTCTTAAGCTATGCCTGTATTGTTTTCTCCCCCCTATTGGACTATCCCAGGGATATGGGCAGAGGCTATTTCTGGTCCACAGCTGTGTCTTTTGTCATATCCAGCAGGGCCCACAAGGGGCATCTATAAATGACTTTCCCATGGAAGCATACTGACATCTCAGTCATTTAGGCCATTTTTCCATTCACAGAACTTAGCCTGTTCTAGGAGGGACTATGGGAAGGAGCTAAAGACAAAACCACAATCAGCAGACATGGGTACTCAGAAAAGAACAGCCCATAATGCTCAGTGAGCAGAGGTCAGAAGTAGAGTGTGAGAAGATGCCCTGGCCCCAGAAAGACCAGGGGAAGGGACTTAAAAGGCGGCAGGTCCTGGAAAGCTGAGCAGGAACAAAGGTAAGGTCTGCCCAGATTTCCCTTCCCCACACAGAGCAAGCAATTTAGCAGTCAAGGGAGAAAAATAGACTTTATTTACAAGTAATAACATTTAGAAAAGATCCATCCCTCACCCTTAAAAACCTTCCCGTCCATCCAAATCCCACCCCAGTACAAGTCTAGGGAAGGTGGGGATGAGCTGCTGCTGAAGGCTGCCTCCCTACCCCCAGCTGTCCTGGAAAAGAAATCCTCTGGGCAGCTGTGCTCTTGGGTTGGATGGGAGTACCTGGAGGTGAAGTGTTCCCACCAGGTCAATGCCCAGTCCTGGACTTTAAGAACAAGGGCCCCTGCTAGGCCTGTTACATAGCCACCAGGATCAGCAGGATCCTCCAATGGTCCCTTCTAGATCCAGAGGCTGAGGGGGACTGGCTGGGCCCAAGGACCCAGTCGCTGAAAGCCAGCCTCAAATCTTTGTGATGACGAAGTGACTTTGCTTTGCGAAAACATCAGGAGGCAAGGTAGGGAGAGGACCCGGACTGTCCAGGCTCCAGGCCAACTCTGAAGACCCATCCATTCATCTAGTGAAGGCTCTGGAAAAGGTCCAGGTACCAGACCAATGTGTGCCAGGCATCACTGTCTCTAGGGGTTTGGCCACTGTTGGCCTGGAAGCTGAGAGAAGGCACTGAGGGACAGTAGAAGGACCAGGCAAGGGCAGCATCAGGGACAAAGGTGGGGCCACTCACTGGTACTGGTCCTTTAGTGCTTTGCCTGAAAGAGAGAGAGAGAGAGAGTCAGTTGGCTGCATGAGACTTGTGATTATCAGCCTGCACCAGCTGCTCCCATAGCCCCCTGACTAGGATCCCTTCCATGGTATGGCCCTGGCCAGATCTACCTTCAGATTACCAGTTACTGGATGTGTCTAACCAGCTCCGGGTGTTTTAGTAGGAATGGAGTTGCCAGTCTCTGCTCTCCAATAATAAGCAGCTAACCAAGATAAGGAGCACCTGCTTAGTTCCCAACCTCCAGTGGCCTAGCTTGGCCCTGTCCTGGGGGCTGCCCCATGCTTCTGCTGGGGTTCCCGAGTTGAACCCTCCCCCTTCCCTGTCTGTGCCTCCACCTTGCCCTTGGCCCTAGGAGTGGCAGTGGCGGCAGCGATGGCAGCAGCAGTGGCGGCGCTGGCTGTGGTGGTGGCAATGCGAGGAGAGCGGCGGGTTCCACTGCGGGTGTTGGGAGAGGCCTTGGACAGGGCTTTCTTTGAAGCCCCCCTCCGCAGAAGGCTATTCCCAAGCTTCTTGGGCGTGTTGAGGATATTGAAAGCCATAGACTGGCGACGGTCATCCTGTGGGAAGGAGCTGTCAGATGGGGCTCACTGCTGCCTTTCCAGGCCAACGTGCTGCTCTAGTGTCTTCCTTCAACCCCCAACTAACCTGTTTGACAACAGCTGAAACTGCTTTCTTCTGGGCCTCCGTAGTGCTCTGTTTTCGCCCTTCGTGTCGGTCCCGGGGAGTCATGGGGCGTGGGAAACAGCTGGTTGGCTTCTTAGACTACGGGGAAGAGGCCAGTTAGGCAGACATCAATAAGAGGACTTCACGTTCAAAGCCACGTATCTCAGCTGAGTGAACCCTGGAAGTTAGCTTGTCCAACCAGCAACACACCCTCCCGCCACTGAGTGAGACGCCTCCACTTTAATCCATTTTCAGATTTGCTGAGCTGGACCTCACCTGGCAGGCTGTTAGAATAAAACACAGGAGCCAATGTTGCCTACCTCAGGGGTACCAGGGCCCTGGTGGGGCTCTAAGGAGACCCGTTTGCGCTGCCGGGTGGTGATGCCAGTGCCCTCAGCTATCTGGGTAGGCTGCATGCTGGCTCGACGCAGGGTCTCCTGGGGATCACCGGTTTTCATCTCCTCATCTGTGATGGTAGCCAGGCTCAGGGAAGGCTGCA